ATATAAGTCTTCAAATATTTATGCAATTATCTTCTATATATATATATATATATATATATATATATATATATATATATATATATAAAAATGAATTGCTGTTCCTTAGTCTCACTAAAACTCGAGAACGACTGAATGGATTTATCTTATCTTAGTCTTAAAATGTTCGTGGAGGTTCAGGGAAGATATAAAAGTTGAAAAAAATTGATTCACTTGTGGGAAAACACTATAAACAGCCCTTTTCTATTTCCGATACAAACGTTTTTTTGACATTAGATTTGACAACTAACTAATATGTCAATCATTCTGTTCGATTGTAACCGGAAAATTTTAATAAATACCTATCAATACCTGGTTATTTAAGATGGAATAGAGTTCGCCCGGTTAGCTATACATATGTATATTACTCATGACGAAATTAACGCGGACGAAGTCGAGGGCAAAAACTAGTTTCCAATAATTTTTCAGTTTCACTGCAATCCAATTCCTTTAAGTAGTCCTTTAACGTTTTTTTACAATTATACGTGTTCATACCAAAGATGTTAGCTTTAAGGTTCATTTTAGCATACAAATAAGTAGCTTGTCTTTTAAATTGATTTCATGAATTGAATTGAATTCATGAATTGAATTGAATTCATGCAGACATTATTTAGGTTAACTATAGAAAAACATCATCTTCCAAGAAATTGACCTACTAGCGACATCTGTTAGCGGATAGCTAACAGATGAAACTCAAAGCGTAGTTCAATCGACCAAATCGACCACCTCATAGTAGTACCACAACTCGCCACAAGAGGGCACTAATATTAAATATTATTTAAATGAAAACACTGTTTACTATTATATTTTTAAGCGAAATGGAAGATATAAAAAACTAGTTAAAAGTTATTAAGTACTAACACTAGAATTATTACTAACAGTAATAGAAATATTAACAAATAGCGATAAATAATATACTCGTACTTAGGGAGCGTTCAAGTATTACGTAACGCAATTTTCGAAGATTTCTGACCCCCCTTCCCCCTCGAATAAATAGAGTTATAAATAGTAACAGGACTTTCTTTTATATACATATATAGATGACTTAGATTAAAACGTAAGAAATAAATTTGGCGTTAATTTCCATTTTCAATAATAAGTTTCATTGTTTCATAAGTTGTTTTTCTCCTTGCGAAGGTCAAAATAAAGATGATTCATATTGAACATAATTTAATTATAATTTATTCAATAATACAAGTTTAGGAATATAGTCTTATGGTACATACATCACAATGATACAGTCAAAAAATATAAAAATGACTATACATAGTACAACCTCAGTGAAGCACCGTTTAAATAAAATATTATAAATTAGGTAAAAATGTTCTCCATTTCTTAAAATGACTTAGAGTACAGTTTTTTTGTAATTTTTTATACAAATTTTCAGTCCCACGTAGGTCTTGTTTTTTTACTAAGCATAGTGTCTTCCGGTGATATGTGTATCGGATTTGTAAAATCAATTTCTATATTCTCTGGTATCGTTTGAAAGTATGCGCTCCCTCTTGTGTTATCTGAAAAGTGTTTTTATTTATTAGATATTTATTGACCATTACAGTTCTTATATTTGTTTCTATAGAAAAAGTAAAATTGACATTTTGAAAAGGCTGAGGGATAAAAATTCTTCAAATTATTGGAGTAAAAAAGGACTACATGAATTTTATGCCAGCCTTGGAAATACCTCCCTTAATTTCAAAATAACAAAGTTAGTTATTTAATAATTATCTATTTTGTTACTATTTTTTGAATTTCCCCCCATTTTTGTCAGCCCGCCATATTTAGTTCACAAGATGTCACCAAAATAATGTTAAACCAAATCTTGTTAATAGTTACATAAAAGACCAATAAAAGAATCATTTACGAATTTCACAAAAATCTTCTAAATTTTGTATATTTTAATGATCCTATTAAAAAGTGCCCATTCATTTAAAGATATAGCAAAATGCATCATAAAACCAAATAAATACGTTAGAGTTCCTATTTTGTAATTGATACTGTTCTAAGACTTATTCATAACTGTAAAAGTTCAAAGTTTGTCGGACGATGTAAACCTGTAATACTCGTATTAATAGTCAATGTTATATAGTTACCAGTTAAGTTGAGCCTAGCTATGATATCCTCCAGGTGTTGTTGTGTAGGGTCGTGCTGACTGTGAGCCGATTACGATAAAGACAGCGACGATGACGGACGGAGCCGCGGTTCAAGAGAGGCAGAGTGAACACCGTCTCGGATGAAGGAGTTAGATCCGAACCGAATTCCTATAGAACATATATTAATATAAATATATACAGAATTTTTTTAAGCTATGGCTGCATTTGCACTGTAGTTGTGGAATATTATGCCAATGTCATACGAAGTTATTATACAGTGTGTGTACGATATACAATAATTATATGGATTGAATTTAAAATGTTATTAAAACTCTGAAGTCGTGATCTAGCCGAAGATGGATTGCGCTGTTTGGATTTACATTGAAAGGTTCACTTGGTAGGAAAATATAAATTTTTTCGTATAATTTGTAATGTTTGTAGTTTTCATGTCTCTTTTATAAGAAATGTTAATATTTGAAAGTTTTAGTCGTATATCTCTTTTTAGACAACTTTTTTTATACATTTTACTATAATGTGCCTTACCGTTCAGAAACAGGAATGTTTATAATGAAATGGCTTAGAAGGGAATTTAGAAAGAAATGGTCAGAATAGACCGTAATTTATTCCCCATATATATCTTACCAGACACTTCCCACTGACGCAGTACGAGTTGTTCCCGCCGCACGAGGTGCCAGGTAGAAGCGATGAGACACACGCTCGTCTTGACACGGCACGCGGCACGGACGGTCCGGCTCCTCTGTGAACACATAATATATATATAATAGTAGGGGAGACTGGTAGGGGAGTCTGATAATCAGTGGTGGCTCAGTGGTTAAAGAGCCCGCCTCTCGTTGCCGAGGGCGCGGGTTCGATCCTGGCCCGGGCAAGTACCAATGTGATTTTTCCGAATCATATGTACTTTCTAAGAGTATTTAGACATCACTGATTAATGTTGATTCCCAAAAGTGGGTTGATGTCAGGCAGGCGGCCGGTCGTAAAAACAAATAGCCAAAAACTATTCACAACATGTAAGGCAGACCCTGGCTATAGCTGGGAAATTGCCAGGTAGAAGAAGGAGAGTAGGGGAGACTGGGTAACAGTGAAAGAAGTGTTACTCCGTAGTTTATGACAAAGTGATACATCTTTGAAATTAAATGATAATGCAAATATCTAATGTCTAAAATACATTTCATTGCCTGTGTTATACATATTTACAAGGTATAGGCATTTAAAAAAAAATCAGACATGATCCACTGTGGCCCGGGCACGGGTCACAGTGGATCACTGCACGGGTGACAGTGAATCGGCACAGGCACACAGGATCAATTGCAAAGAAATATTGAAAAAACATCAATTTTCATAGTATTATAATATTTCTACTTGTCCTAGCTTCTAGACAGTCTTTTACGTCAAAATAATGACATGACATTTTCTAAATTATCGAAGAACAAACCAACATTATAGCGATTGAAAGACGACCTAGCAACGGCTCGTATTTTTAGCTATCCGAATAAATTTTAGTGTCAGTGGTGGCCTCGTGGTCAAAAGGCCCGCCTCTCGTGCACGAGAGCGCGGGTTCGATCATGGCAAGTACCAATGTTTTTTTCGAGTCATATGTACTTTGTAAGAGTATTTAGACTTCACTGACAAACGGTGAAGGAAAACATCGTGAGGAAACCTGGACTTATAATTTCACAATTATAAGTTTGAAATCGCCAATCCGTCTTGAGCGAGCGTGGTGAATGGTGGGTAATGCTCAGATCTTCTCCATGTGAGAAAGAGGCCCTTGCTCAGCTGTGGGCTCTGATAGGCTGATGACGATGACGAAATAAATTTTAGAACGTTACTTATCTGTTCTTCACTCACTCAGCACTCACGCACACAAAAGGTTTTTTTTTTGTGTGCGTGAGTGCAACATATACTATGTTATTGTACATTATCCACTGTGACCCGCGATTCCCTGTGACCCAGTCTCCCCTAGATCTTTATCAGGTTCAGTCTATTATAAGACAGTGGATAGCTTCTCGACGAGTAAGTGTCAATTCAATGAATTATTTAAATCACTCGTTTTTTAATAGATTTGTATTGTATATGCTATTCCTATAATGCAATATGAGGTTTTATTGTTTTATATAATAATAATCCTTATATACTGTTGTATTTTAATAAATGAAATATGTTTACTCCTAACACATTAGCTGACTTTGTTATAGAAAACAATTTAAATAGAAGGCGGGCAGATTTTCAACCTACAAATGTAAACATGGATAGTTTCATATTTCCAAGAATAGAATATAATGATCTTGTAAAAATTGCATGTGGAATATACCAACTAAAACAAGCTGGTTTGTATTATGGGCAGCACATAAGAGGCGATGGTTCCCATACTATAGAATTATGTAGAAATATAGCGAGCGACCTATTGCTTGACTACCCGATTCCTTTGGCCAACTGCAGATTATTGCGTGGAAAAATACAAAGCAGGCATGTAAGTCGAAAAATATATATATATTATATGAAAATAATCACAATGGTAAGGAAGCTATAAAAGAATGTTATTGTAATTGCATGGTTGGCCAAAGGACAGTGGGTTGCTGCGCTCCTATAATGACTATTTTATGGTTTTTAAGTTGGGCAAGGCATCAGAAATGGGGGTCCCCCCACAGTGTTGACTTCCTCGTAGTGACCCCTGGGCAACGTCGCGCCTGACCACCGTAACGGAGTGGCAGGCCGGCGGCTAACGAACACTGTGCTTCGAAGTTTTAATAGTCTGTGCTTCGAAATCGTAAGGTATCCCATCCCACTTGGTGCGCGGTAACGCAGTGGCCAGTGGTTGGTGATCCTTCGCGACGATCGTGATCTGTGTTGGTTGTGAACATGAGTTCCAAACAACCGAGGGCCGCCTCCAGACGGCGCCTCCCAAAAGGCCCTTCTCAGGGCCAACCCCAAGGCCCTTCTCAGGGCCAACCCCAAGGCCCTTCTCAAGGCCAACCCAAAGGCCCTTCTCAGGGCCCCTCACGGGACGCGTCAGCGTCTGAGGCTAGCCGCGCACCTTCGGCGGCAAGCCTCCATAGTGTGGGCCAAACTACGGACTACTCGGACACCGAGTCCATTATGAGTGTGTCGGACTGTGGCTCGATCCGCCGCGAGTCCAGGAAGCGATTCCTGCGTCAAAAGTCCGGGGGATCTCCTGATACTGCCAGGACACCCGCAAAACGGGCCATAGTAGAGGCGGACCTAGAGGAAATGGTCGCCTCTAAGGAGAAGCTCGCGCGGACGACCAGAGCCAAGGCCGGCTACGGTGCAGCCACCGTCCGCTATGCCGACCACTCCGTAGAGGAGATGGAGCGCATGGCTCTCGAGGACCAGGGGGAAATAATTGAGGTCGCCTCCAAGTCCTCAAACCTAAAGGGGACCTTCCAAAAGGCCCTCAAATGCCGGGCAGCCAGCCTAATCGGCATTGTCAAGGAACTTTCGCAGCGCACTACGTCCAACGAGACGCGGTTACTGCAGGCGAAAGTTGACCGCCTGCAGAAGGAGATGTCTGCGCTGCAAGCTCGCATTGCCGAGCTTATGGCCCGGTCTAAAGGGACCTCGGAAGGTCCAGCGGTGGCGGCGGCCCCCTCCAATCTTGAGGACATCATCCGAAAGGTGGTCATGGAGGAGAGGGCCTTTACAAAAGCCTGCTTCGCAGGCATTGAGGACCGGCTGCTGCCGGAAAAGAGGCTCCGCCCTCCACTCGGCAGGACCTCTACTGCACCGCCGCCCCAAGAAGCAGCGCCAGCGCAGAAGGAGCAGCCCAAGGCCACGAAGGCAGGCAAAGGGAAGGGGAAGGGAAAGAAGTCCCCTTCGGCCCCTACCTCACAGGCGGGAGCCAGCGCTCCCCCAGCGCCCGCCCAAGCTCCTGTAAGGGAAGATGCCCTGCTGCCTTCTACTACACCCTCCAACGAGCCATGGAAGAAGGTGGTGGGCAAGAAGCAGCGAAAGGGGAAAAAGCCGGTACCTGAATCCCCGGCAGCCAATAAAGCTCCGGCGGGAAAGAGGAGGAAGCTCGTTCCTCCAAAAACCGCGGCCGTAGTGGTGACCCTCACAGCGGAAGCCGTTACACGTGGGGAGACGTACGAGTCCGTGCTGCGACGGGCTCGTTCAAATATTGACCCCGTGCAACCGAGTGAGGGCAGGGTCACGTGCCGACGGACCCAAACCGGGGCTCGTATCTTCGAGTTTTCGGGGGCTCAGGGCAGCGCCAAGGCCGACACCTTCGCTAGCCAACTAAAGGAGGTAATCGCAGACACGGCCAAAATCGCGAGGCCATTGAAGTGCGTGACTCTGGAAGTGACCGATCTTGATGATTCGGTCACCCAAGAGGAGGTCGTGGCCGCAGTTGCGGCGTTGGGGGGCTGCGACATCGCAGCGATTAAGGGCCGCGCCATCAGACCTGGCCGTGGGGGCATGGGCAGCTTGCGACTGGAGTGCCCAGTCATGGCTGCAAAGGCAGTTCTGGCAAAGGGACGCCTCCCGGTTGGTTTCAGCTCGGCTGGTGTCCGGGCTCTTGAGGACGAGCCGATGCGCTGCTACAAGTGCTTCGGCATCGGCCACACCCGGGCCCTTTGTCCGTCCGCTGCGGAGCGTACAGACCTGTGCTTCCGCTGCGGCAAGGGGGGGCACAGGTCCACCGCCTGCGAGGCCACCAAGCCGCACTGTGCCGTGTGCGCTGACAGTGGTCGGCCAGCCGACCACATTATGACGGGGAGGAAATGTCGTCCTCCCCTAAAGAAAGGGAAAGCGCAGGTGACCACACGACCTGCTGCTGCCGCCGTCACTGCGATCCCAGTCCCAGTGCCGACAACCGAGGGGAGCGCGATGAACACCGACTAATGACTGGGCTTCATCGCATTCTCCAGGCGAACATCAACCACTGCAAAGCGGCCCAGGACCTGCTGGTCCAAACCTTTGCCGAGTGGTTGGTGGACGTGGCGGTTGTCGCCGAGCCTTACTCAGTCCCTGGCACATGGCTAGGAGACGAGAACGGCTCGGTGGCGTTGGTTGCGCGGTCTTCCACAGACTCCCCCCCCATCTCGCTCTTAGAGAAGGGGCCGGGATACGTGGCCGCTGCATGGGGAGACATAGCCTTAATAGGGGTTTATTTCTCCCCCAACCGCCCTCTTACGGACTTCGAGAACTTCCTCGGCGTCCTCGCCATGGTGGCCGGCAGAGCAGCGCAACGCCGGGTCTTGGTGGTGGGCGACTTCAACGCCAAGTCGGTGGCATGGGGTAGCCCACGCACGGACGCACGGGGACGCGAGGTAGAGTCGTGGTCGGTGACGTCAGGTCTGTCCCTCCTGAATAGAGGGACAGTACACACCTGCGTGCGGCGACAGGGGGGCTCCATAGTGGACCTCGCCTTCGCCGCCCCTTCCTTGGCGGCCTGTGTCGTGAACTGGCGGGTGGAGCTGGTAGAGACTCTATCGGACCACCGATATGTGCGGTTCGATGTCTCCACCCAGGACTCCCAGGGGAACCGTGCTGGGGCCCAGTCACCATTCCCGCGGTGGGCGCTCACCCGTTTGGACCAGGGGGCCGCCAAGGAGGCGGCCTTCGTCCAGGACTGGCTCACACCGCCAGTCGACGTTCAGGACGTGGACGCCGCGGCAGCTCAACTAAGAGCCTCCTTGACCGAGGTGTGCAATTCCAGTATGCCTCGGTCCCATCGTCCACCTCCGCGACGCGCCGTTTATTGGTGGTCGGAGGAGTTGGCTGCTCTCCGGGCCATCTGTGTGGCGGCCAGGCGGGAGTACACGAGGAGCCGGCGGCGGCGCACCCGTGATCTAGCCAACGAGGATCGTCTCTACGCATCATACGTAGAGGCGAAGACCGTCCTCAAAGCGAGAATCGCCGCCGCCCTGGACCGCGCGAGGTCGGAAATGTTGGAGAGTCTCGACAACGATCCTTTCGGGAGACCGTACAAGGCGGCGCGGAAGAAGCTGCGTCCTTACGGTCCCCCAGTTGCCGAGACCCTCGAACCAACGCTGTTGGATGGGGTGGTACAGTCCCTGTTTCCCCGCAGGGACAGGTTCACCCCCCCGGCAATGAGCCGGCCGCGCGGTGAGGCTCCAACAGTGGACGAAGTGCCTCTTGTTACGGAGGAGGAGTTGGAGGAAGCAATGGCCCGCCTCCGTAAGAAGAAGACGGCCCCAGGGCCGGACGGCGTCCCCGCGAGGGTGGTGGCCATCGCCGCTTCCCGGATGGGTCCACGATTTCGGGACCTTTTCGGAGCGTGCCTGGCGTCGAAGAGGTTCCCGAATATATGGAAGGAGGGCCAATTGTGCCTTCTACGTAAGGAAGGTCGGCCGGTGGACTCCCCGTCCGCTTACCGACCCATCGTCTTGCTTGATGAGGTCGGTAAAATGTTCGAGGGGATGATAGCCACCCGCCTCAAGGGACATTTGGGCACAATTGGCCCAGACCTGTCGGACGCTCAGTTCGGTTTTCGGCCTGAGCGTTCAACATTGGACGCCCTGTCGAGACTGAGGGATCAGGTGAGCGAGGCGATGGAAGCGGGGGATGGACTGTTGGCTGTGTCCTTTGACATAGCCAACGCTTTTAACTCCGTCCCCCACTCCACCATCCTAGAGGCACTCCGCTACCACGGAGTGCCTCCATACTTGCGGGCCCTCCTAGCCAGCTATCTAGAGGACCGTTCGGTCCTCGTTGCGGATAGGGCGGGTCAACTGCGACGGTATGGCGTCGAATCTGGTGTTCCACAGGGTTCCGTTCTAGGACCACTCCTGTGGAATATCGGGTTCGACTGGCTACTGCGGGGAAATCTTCCCCGAGGCACGTCAGTCGTCTGCTATGCAGATGACACTCTCCTGACTGCTCGGGGGAGTAATTTCGAGACGGCAGCCAGCCTGGCCTCAGCGGGAGGATCCTTGCTCGCTGACAGGATCTCACGCCTTGGACTGACGGTGGCGTTGCACAAGACCGAAGCCGTCTATTTCCATCGGCCTCGGCATCGTCAGCCGCCGGACGCTCATATTTATGTGGGGGGCGTCCGGATCGGGGTGCAGGCCCAGATGAACTATCTGGGCCTGACGCTCGACAGCAGGTGGCGATTCGGCCCTCATTTCAGCGGGCTGTCGACGCGCCTGCTGAAGACCGCGGGGGCTCTCTCTTGGCTCCTCCCAAACATCGGGGGACCTGGGAATCGATGCCGGCAACTATATGCCGGCATCTTGAAGAGTATGGCCCTTTACGGGGCCCCAATCTGGGCGGACTCCCTTCATAGGAGGGAAAACGCAGCAGCGTTCCGGAGGCCCCAAAGGGCTATTGCGCAGCGGGCGGCGAGGGCTTACCGCACGGTAAGCCTCGCGGCAGCGTGCGCTCTGGCGGGCACCCCTCCTTGGGAGCTCGAGGCGTGGGTGCTCGCCAGAGTCTACGAGTGGAGAGGGGAGCAGCGGGTGCTTGGCCAGCGCCCCAACGCCGCTGAGAGGGGAGCCGTTCGTGAGGAGGCGAGGGCCGCAGTCGTCCAACATTGGACAGAGGACCTCGCCTCCGCAACGTTCGGCCGAAGAACGCTTGACGCGATCGGGCCCGTCCTCAAGGATTGGCTCGGTCGGTCATTTGGCTCCCTCTCCTTCCGTCTGGTCCAGGTGCTATCCGGGCATGGCTGCTTCGGATCGTACCTGCACCGGATCGGGAGGGAAGAGTCTCCGTCGTGCCACCAGTGCGGAGCTGAAGTGGACACCCCAGAGCACACCATGGAGGTGTGCCCATCGTGGGCCGTGCCCCGTCGTGCACTGGTGGCAGTGATTGGCAGCGACCTCTCGCTCCCTCGTGTGGTCACCGCCATGCTGGGGGAGTGAGGAGGCGTGGACTGCAGTTGCCTCCTTCTGCGAGGACGTAATGTCACAGAAGGAGGCGGCGGAGCGGCAGCGCGAGGACGATCCCTCAGCGCCAGCGCTCCGTAGAAGGAGAAGGGGCGGAAGGCGGCGCACACAGCGTCCCTCTTCACCCGCCCCTGCGACGGCCATAGATGGCCGTGCGCTCCGGCCACAACAGAGCCCCCCCCCACCTGGGGGGGCGTGAGGGGTCCGCCAGAAGGTGGGCAATCGCCAGCAGGGGGCTGGACGCAAACAGGATTCCCAGCCCCCTGCCAGTCAGGCGAGGTCGGAGCGCCACTGGGTTATTTTAGTGGGTATACCGGGAATCCTTTTCCCGGGGAGTCCCACATACCCCTCTCCGTCTTCAACGGAGAGGGGATGCGTAAAGCATTTTTTCCCAGTGCGCACAAAAAAAAAAAAAAAAAAAAAAAAAAAAAAAAAAAAAAAAAAAAAAAAAAAAAAAAAAAAAAAAAAAGGCATCAGAAATACATTTCACCACCTGTCCAATTTCTTGAACACATATTAATAAATAACAACATATGATGTCTCAGAATAAAGATAAATCATAAAAATGTTGTTTTATTTCGCTTTAACTTGTTTTTCCTCACATGACAAAAATCTCTTTTTAAACATTTTGATACAAAATTAAGTTCATATTAATACTAGTTAGTGCTTTTAAACCAATTAAAAAAAATATGATAAAATGTCTGTTCACGTCAGGCCAAAATCCCCATACTAAGTGGACAGTCTCCTTTAGACCCAGCTTCACCAATAAGTAACATCGTGTTGAGGCGTTTGATGCTCTGTTAGATGTATCGAGAGTCCCAGCACGCACAAATGTCCGTTTAAATGTCTTAACCAGCCACTAATATTAATTCCTGCTCTGGAGCTCCGTCTAATGGTTAACAGAATGTTAATGGCATTGTCAAAACTCAATTGTCAAATCACAGCCCTAATTTCTTGTAACAATAGTAACGTCATCTGTTTTGTCAGTTTCAACTATTTCTTTGTACTTATTGATAAAGTTAATTAAAATTCAATTTCCTATGATGATTTTGCCTCCATATTTTTTATAACATTGCAAATAAAATTTTCTTTATATCTCTTATAATTTGAACACAATTTATGCCTATATTTATAACATAATAATATATAACACAATTTATTGACAATCCCATTTTGACAGGTTACACCTAGTAAATTGAAAAAAAGCTTTATGTGTGTCAAATGTATGCAACCAAGGATATATAAAATTTGGACGCATTACCTTACAAGTGACGTATCGAGGGATATATACGATCAAAGTATAAAGTGGTGCATCGTAGCAAACGTGCCGTATTAAACGCTATAGTTTCCATTTGGTCGTATTATAACAAGAACGAATAATTTGGTAGTCGGTCATTTGACATGACGTTTAATAATGCGTTGTTAATTTGTCATCTTGGGACGTAAACATTTTATCAAACATTTATAATTTTGTAGGTTGGTTAGTAAATGCTGTGTTTAGATTAAACAAACATTGATTGGTGAAACTGGGTCTTAGAGTATTCTTATTATCTTTTGAATTAACAACGTTAATGATTAAATATTTGTCGAACATATCAATAAATATTACCTTTGGTGAAGCTTGTCTCCCAACCCACACATAGATGGAGCCACTGACTGTGTCAAGAGTATAGGTGTCCTGAAAATATTATTAAGTAATTAGACATCAGTCGAGATTTTAAACGTTAAACATTCTACGCTCCTGGAGAGGGAATAGAAATAGACGGATCGAGAGTAAATGAGTGGGTCAATTATTAATCCTAAGTAATGTTTATAAAGTTTTTCTTAAAACAATATAAATTCACTAACAATTTGTTTCTACGCATTCCTGCTTCGAGCTTTGATTCCGACATTACGAAGTTTCACTTTTTCCACTTAGAGGGACTCCACGCTCTATTTTTTTCACTTCATTTTTGTATATATCGAGATTGTCGACAAGGGAGCGTTCAA